TGCCCAGATAGTTTTCTCTGATGGTGAAAAATTTCTCTGGATGAAATTGACGGATTCGAATAGTGACAAAAAATGAAATTTCTAAGTTATGAATTTCTCTAGGTTGAGTGATTTGGAGAGGAGGAATTTCTCCGAGTTTGTAAGGAAAATTTCTCTGGCTTTGACAAAAATTTCTGAGTTGAAGTGAGTCCAGAGAAATTCTCAACTCAGAGAAATTTCAAAAGAGCTTAATTTTATTTCTTGGTTGTACAATAATTTTTTGTATGCTCTGTCTGGTGTGCACATTTCTTGAAATGACTGATATGAAGTTACCAGAAATTCACAAAGAAATTTAACTCATATCTCGCCAAAGAAGGTGCCTATATGATCATTCAATCTCTAATGCACTGTGTTAGTACAAAACAATTATCAAATTCAAAAAACACAATCCACACAGTACTTTTCTCTACCATTGTCAAATTTATGTGGATGAATATGAAGTTTCAAAACACAATACACAGAATTTTCTCTGCCATAGGAAAATTTCTCTAGATGAATTTGACAGGTATTACAAACCTACTGCCTATAGTATATATCAACAAACACAATGCACACTTTAACTAATATTGGAAAATTTCTCTGGATGGATTTGATTGATATTATTATATATACTGTCTAAAAAATACATTTCACAAAACAAAATACACAAAGTAATCATCAAATGTATTATTCAATCAATAAAATATATAATCCTCAATGTTGTTCTTCTTCGGCCTCCCAGCAGGTCTCTTGCTCAACGGAGGTAAAATCATAGCATCTTCAATGCTACACACAGGTTTTTCAACAGTTGGAATTGGGCCAATCGAAAACGAGTATGCTTGACGATACATATCAGCATGAAAAAATGGTTCAACAAATGAATTCAAATTCTTTCCACTCCTAAAAATTGCAGCAACAGCATGTTGACATGGATACCCATTTATTTCCCATTTTCGACATGAACACTTTTTTAACCCAAGATCAACCATAACTGAAGGAAAACAATGCACTTCAAAGACATTATCAGATTATAAACTCACATTCCATGTCCTCCCATCCAAAAAAAACTTCTCCAACACACTATCCATATGAGGACACAGAATTTTATTCCATTTACTAGAGAGCAACCTCCTATCAGACCTCATATTCATGATTTGCAACCGTATCATATCCACCAAATTTGTTATTGGCAAGTGTCGAGCTTCTCGTATCCATGAATTGAATGACTCAGCAACATTTGAATACATCTCACCATAACGTTTCCCCGCAAAATATGCATCACTCCAATTTTCATATGGTAAACTTCTCAAGAAAATACTCACAATGTCTCCTCCCTCACTTTTTAATTCATTTAACTTGAAATGAAATGATGCCTTTGTTGGAGCATATGCACATTCTGAAAACTTGGACACAATCGTCTCCCTAACCGAATTTGTGTTTCCACATGACAACTTATCCCTCAAATTTCTTTTTAGATGTTCAAGACAAAATCCATGAAAGCAGTTAGGGAAAAACCTAGCAATTCCCTCCACAATACCACAATGCCGATCTGATATGAAACTTATCACCTTTTTTGATCCCAATACTCCACATAAATGTTCAAGAAACCAACACCAATTGTCTTTATTCTCAACATCAACAACAGTAAAAGCTACAGGAAAAAAACCTACAAAACAAATAGGAACAAGCATATTAGATATACATATGCAGAGAAAAATAAAACAATAAACAACCAGAGAAGTTTGACACTGCCAACATCCAGAGAAAATTCACTTAGTGCCCAACTCCAGAGAAAATTCACACATTGGCAACATCCAGAGAAAATTGACTTAGTGACCAACTACAGAGAAAATTCACACAATCATAATATCCAGAGAAAATTCACTTAGTGACCACCGACAGATACAATTCACACAATGACAACATCCAGAGAAAATTCACACACTGACTAAAATCCAGTGAAAATTCTCACAGTGGCCACAACCATAGAAAATCCATAGTGGCCAAAACTAGAGAAAATTCACATTCACTCAATTCCTACATGTATAGAAAATTCACATACTTAGATAAAATTAGATATATTTACAATTACCTTCATTCCCATCTTTCCCCGTTACAGCAAGCATAACTCCTTTGTATCATCCTTTCAAAAATGTTCCATCAAGAAACCGCAATGACCGACAATATTTGAAACCAGCAATGCATGCATGAAAAGCCACAAACACTTTTTTGAAACGCTTGTTATCTTCAAAATCTAACTCAAAACGACTACCTGGATTGTTCTTCAATGCCTCATCAAAATACCACCGTAATTGATCAAATGACAAACAAGAATCCCCATATGTACTACATTTTGCTTTTTCAACACCCAACCAACCACAGTTATAACTGATTGAGACCCCATACTTGTCTTTTATTTCTTTCACAACATCCACTGGACGAGTTAAAGGTTTTGCACTTACCTCTTCAAGTATCAGCCTAGAAACTAAGCTAGAAGTCATCCTCAAATGTTTACTCGTACGAACCGCCACACCACAAGTATGTTCATTGTTCAAAGTCCTTATGTAGAAGAACCTATTTATTTTTTCAACAGAAGCATGTACACGCCATATACATCCCCTTGATTCCTTATATGCACATTCTGCCGTAACCCTCAGCTTGTCATTTTTAACATACATAAACTGAAAACCAACCTCAATAGCATACTTGCATAAAAAAGTATGGAACTCAACCACACCACCCTCAAACTTTTGTCCAACACTCGTAATATTATTCTGCCAACTAGCCGACAATAACACATTTTCTTGGTGAGAACAAAACTTAGAGAGTGAATTTCTTTCAATATCCACCAGCCTATCACACTCACCATCCACAACATCTACCCAATTAGACCCCACTTTATCCTCTTCATCAGAAGTACTACATCTAGTAACTGAAACATCAACTATATCAACACCGCGTGCACAAACAACCCTCAACATATTTAGAAAATCAATATTATTTCGAACCATACAATTCGGATGGCCCAAAATAAAATATAAAATACACATAGTCTCAGATTTCAAATTCTCCCATGTTTTACACAAAATGATAACCAATTCCTCAAAATTCAATTCGCATGAAACATTAATGACAATAGTATCATTCCCATATTTGCACAGCAACAACACTACACTGTCCATTGAAACTGAAACAAAAAACAAGAAAAATAATTTGTTTAACATAGAAACACTTTACAAGAACAACATAAAAGTCTAGAGAAATTTCTAAAAATTATAATTTTCTCTGAACTTAAAATAGAAGTCCAAAGACATCTACAAACTGATATTTACCTTCAAGATGATAAAAAATAAAATCACAAAAACTTAATGAATCACAGAGAAATTTACTACTAACTATTAAACACAATTATAGAAAAAAATCACACAGAATATCTGATATGAAATTATAGGCTTCTCCGTGATTTTCACCTCACTACAAGCTAACAATTTTCTATGCGTCATTCTGTAATATTGCACTCATAGAAAAATTCAGAGAAATTTACAAACTTATATACACCTTCAAGATAACAAAAAACACTGCATTGTCCATCTAAATTGAAAGAAAAAACACAAAAAATAACTTTTGCTTAGAGAAACAAAAACTTCTATTCATCTTTTACAAACATATAATTTTCTTTGAACTACAAACTGAAAGTAAGTAACAAACTTACAATTTTCTCTGAACGACAAATACAAGTTCAGAGAAATTTATGAACTTACATTCACTTTCTCATATTCTATCTGTATTAGAAACTTCTAATAATATGTCCGTATGCACTTATAATTTTCTCTGGATTACACAAACAAAAGTGCAAAAAATGAAATTTCTCTGGTTTGAAAAAACATAGAACAAAACTTATCATTGATCAGCATGTTGATAAAGAACAGAGCACGAAAAATGAACTCTGAACATCAAAATCACCTACACTGTCAACACTATTTGAAATTGATCAAAAAACAAAGAATGAAAAATTAATTTCAAAAATAAAAATCAACTCTATCAAGCTGGCCTCTCTCTAAACAAAAATTCAAAACAAAAATCAAAATCCATGTGGAATCTAAATCGAAAACAAACCTGATTCAACTCCACTCAAAAACCTACGCGATCAACACATTGTCAACACTCTTTGAAATTGATTAAAAAACAAAGAATCAAAAATTAATTCCAAAAATAAAAATCAACTCCATCAAACTGGCCTCTCTCTAAACAAAAATTCAAAACAAAAATCAAAATGCATGTGGTATCTCCATCGAAAATAAACCTGATTCAACTCCACTAAAAATCTACGCGATCAACACACTGTAACACCATTGAAATCTCCGACGAAATCTCCAACGAAATCTACACGATCGTAGCAATCTTTCTCGTCAACTCCACTGAACTCTCCGACGAAATCTCCACCATGAAATCTCCACTGAAATCTCCGACGAAAACTCTGACGAAATCTCCATTGCAAATTCAGTTTCCAAAATCTATCAGTTAAGTCAACAATATAATATTCAAACAAATTTATGTTATAAAGGAAGGGTAATTTAGGTACTTTATAACCTAAAATAAATTTGAGGGACCTTAGCCATCAAAACATATTATTTTGGACCTTTCCTCCTATCAAAAGTAGAGGAGGGACTTTAGGCTAATTTTTCTAATTTTTTTATACTTGTTCTTAATACATTAAAATGTTATTATGAGGGTAAGATTTGGGGATTAAGAGAAGTTAATAAATGCTAAGGTTTTTTTTTTTAAATCAAAAAATCAAAAAATTTAAATTGAGAGATTAGAGCTCCCACAAAAACTTCATTTTACTTAATATAGAGCATAGATATAAATAGATAGATTGATAGATGGATGGATGTGTGTGTGTTTTTTTTTTTAATTGAAAGTTTTACTTATAAAATTATATAATTAAATTCTTACCATACTTTTATTCACTTCCACTCAAAGAATATTTTTATACCATGCTTTTTTATTTTTATTTTCCGGTGTTGGGAGACCAGTGTCGTCGCTGTTAACTCTCCTCCGACTATTAAACGATTTCGTCGCTCCATTAATACCGTGCTTTAAAGTTCTGAAACCCTAGCTCATCTCTAACTCATCTGCAATCTCTCTCTCTCTCTCTCTCTCTCTCTCTCTCTCTCTCTATTTTTGCAGATTTCGTGATGAAGATGGCATCGCTCACTCAGCTCGACGACGAAATCGTTCGCAGCATGTCAATCGGCGCCGTCTTTTCAGATTTCGTGAGTTTCTCCTCCTTTTCTAGCTCACAATAGTATGTATATACACACAGGTTTCTCTTGAATTGTACAGTTATCGATAAGCAAGTCATGTTTATTTTCAAATTTCAATATAAGAATGATTTTTGTAGTTTCCTATGTCAATGCACTTCATTTACTCTTAAAAACGAAATCGATGAAAACTACTTTATCTCGCGTATAGTTGTGAATTTCATCTGTTGAATTGGTACTATTGGTGAAAAAGTAAATATATTTAGTATAAGTGCAGGTTTCATTTGTAAACAGATGATGAACTATTGAAAATGAAATGCTAAATCTTAAAAAATATGGTGATGGTTATAAATTGTGTTTCTTTTCTAAATGGATCAATAGAAGTCGAGCAGAGAGTAAATTGACATATGAATGATTCATGTATGAGACGGGGATTGTGTTGAGGTTGGACAGGCAGCCTTTTTGAGGAACTTACAAAAGAAAAATATTTGAGGATTAGGATCCCATCCAGCTGAGGCAGTTCACCTATTATTTTACTCATCTGTCTATTTGTAAACAAGCCTCGTTTAGCTATTTGAATTAGCAACAAGATGCATAATCTAATTTTTTTTTCTTGCAAATCATGAATTAATGCTGAGATGTTAATGTCTACATCTAACCCTAGCTATGTACTCTTTGGTGGAGAGACTGCATCTATTACTTCAAAGCTGACTCACATCTTCACCACAGAATTTCACACATGGATACATGGGTGTCTGAAATTACTAGATTGTGATCTTATTTTAAAATGTGTGGATTCAGAATCATAATCTACAATAAAAAAAAAAAGGTTCAAGCTTGTTGAAATTGAACTTTTCTTTTCTTTATTAGTATATAAACTTGTCAAGTTCTTTTAGTGGTGGGCCTTGCTTCGAGTAACTTTTATTTTATTTTATTTTTAGGTTGGAAAGATAAATTCACTTGATTTTCATCGTACTGCTGATTTACTGATTACGGCTTGTGAGGATGATTCTGTGCGACTATATGACATTGCAACTGCAAAGTGAGTATTCTATATTTTATGAAAATATATTGCATGTTAAGAATATTGCAGTTGAGTGTTGACAATTGTGGCCTCTACAAGGAGGAGTGGATTGATTTGTTGTAGGGTTTCTCATCAAATGAGAGAGAGAGAGATGGTGGTGGTGGTAGGAAGGAGGGTGAGAAAGATACGGAGAAGGATAGAGGGAAAAGGAGGATGAGGAGGGAGGAGGCAAAGGAGATGGTGCTTGTGGTGGTGATTTGAGGAAAAGCAATTTGGTCCATGTGTTTGAGAGAGAAGGTGACATTTCAAACCACACTGACAATCTTGTTACGAAACTAATGCGTCACACTGTGATGCTTTTGGGAGAGAATAATAGAGTATGGAATATAAGGATAAAGCATGCCAATTGTTTTTGGCTGATTGTCTTAATAAGTACTAGGAATTGTACTTGAGCATCTATATGGGTTATATGCATATGAATGGTAGTGGATGAATAAAGTTGTTTCCTTTGGGGAGGTGTCTTTATTCCATTTTATTTGCTAATAAGAATAATTTTTATAGAGTTGGACACTTCATAAAAGGGAGAAAAAAAATGTGAGAAAAGAAATGCATGAACATGAACATTGGTTAAACCTTTCGCTAGGTGTTGTCATTGTTTCAATTTTTAGCTGCAGATGTACAAAATGCCAAGGAATCATTAAACCCTATTGGACCCAAAAAAAAATATAAAAAATTAAATATATATATATATATATATATTAAACAAAAGAAATGCATCACATCTGACCTTACGCACTTTCCTTTTGCCCATTACTTGGTTTTATTTCAATATTATGTCAACTGTCCTTGCTTTTCCATTTAAAGACATTGTTGAATTTGTTTTTGTTTGAGAATTAACATTAGTGAGTAGTTGACCTACCCATTTGTTCTGGACTTGGAAGTAGGATTCTTTCCTTATTTCACTATTTTGCTATGAACTTCAGGTTGTTGAAGACCACATATCATAAGAAGCATGGTGCTGATCGTATATGCTTTACCCACCACCCAAGTTCTGTTATATGCTCTTCAAGATACAATTTGGATTCTACTGGAGGTGAGCTTCCAATAGGAAGGTTATGATTTAGGCTGCTTCCATTTATTATAAATGAGAAAATGATGACAAACAGTTTACCCTGTTTCTCTTACCAGAAACCCTGCGGTATCTGTCTATGTATGATAATCGGTGCCTTCGTTACTTTAAAGGGCATAAAGACAGGTTTGGATCCTTGATCTTTTTGGTGCTTTCTTTAATGACTGGACAACTGCATATGCTTGTTTGGTTATGGAGTAGTCTTGGTGGTGATAAACTAGAAAAGAACCATAGAAAGAATTTATAAAGGTTGTCTATACCTATCGTTGCTAACCACCACTACCCAAACCAACCTTCAAGTTGATTGGAAAATAAAAAATTCATAAAAGAGAGACATTGGAATTAGAAAGAGGAAATGGATGTGGTGATCATCACCCATTTTCTTTCTCACTTGTAATTTTTGCCTCTCAGTCTTTCTTTACTTTCTCTCACCACAACCACTACCCTGTTTAGGAAACCTAAGTTTTTACTCTGTGTGTGAAATCAAATCTATGCTTCCTCTATTTTTTGTATCCACCACCATGGCAGCTGAGTTTTGTGACCATGGTGATAAATTAATGATGAAGGACTTTGATTGGGTGATGCAATTAATTTACATGTATAAGGGGGAATAGAGAGAGCAAGAGGGATCCAAGATTTTTGTGTGCGCTGAGGTAAGGAAAACGAGATCTAGAAGGGGAAATTGGAAGACTGAGCTAGAAATGAACGATTTTGTATAGACATTCACTTGCAATAATATCTTCTCAAAACACAAAATTATTAAATATAATATATACCATTGTTATCTTATACATTAGTATTGCTTTACAAGACATTTTTTAACAATTAAATCATGAGAAACAAAGAGACATTGATCGTGACCTTGATACAAAGTTGGAGCTGCTAACTATGGATAAGATGTCGGAAACAAAATGATTTTATATCATCCTTCATTTCAATTTGTTAAAAAAAGACAATGCCTCCTTGCATAATATGGATTCCAAACATTCTTGACCTAGATGTAAATGATGTTTCACTAGAAATGTTCTTGTTATTGGGTCTGCCTAAACCCAAAACACACAGGAGGTCCCTGCAATAATATTTTCTCAAAACACAAAATTATTAAATATAATATATACCATTGTTATCTTATACATTAGTATTGCTTTACAAGACATTTTTTAACAGTTAAATTATGAGAAACAAAGAGACATTTCGTGACCTTGATACAGAGTTGGAGCTGCTAACTATGGATAAGATGTCGGAAACAAAATGATTTTATATCATCCTTCATTTCAATTTGTTAAAAAAAGACAATGTCTCCTTGCATAATATGGATTCCAAACATTCTTGACCTAGATGTAAATGATGTTTCACTAGAAATGTTCTTGTTATTGGGTCTGCCTAAACCCAAAACTCACAGGAGGTCCCTGCAATTTACCCATAGATTTATAAGCATCTAAAATAAAGGGCCACTTTGATATTCTGAGCGTGATTGACTAATTGGGGCCAATTGATATTACTTGGGGTTTTTCTCTGCTTCTTCTGTTTTTTATTTTTTTTTTCAGTCACAAGGTTGTGATGCTGATACTTTTCTACTATTTTATTGCTTTAGGGTGGTTTCCCTTTGTATGTCCCCAGTTAATGACAGCTTCATGTCTGGTTCTCTTGACCACACTGTCAGAATATGGGATCTGCGTGTAAATGCCTGTCAGGTTGGTTCACATTTTCTCTCTTTTTTTTTTTTTTTGTGTGCAAATTATGGCTGAAAGGGTAATGCAAATATATAAGGACAATGTATGAAAAAAAAATTGGTACATGCTATTTGCGTAGTGTGGTGCTATAAATTTTTGCTTGCTAATCTGTCTTACTTTTAAAATTTGCGCGTAGTGTGGTGCTATAAATTTTTGCTTGCTAATCTGTCTTACTTTTAAAATTTGCAAAACTTATTTGAATTTGGTCTAAAATTCATGCCCCATTTGATATGTGAATTTTGAGAGTTTGATATAGACTGTATGCATTAGCTCATGGAAGTGTAAGAATGCATACATTCGTAAGTCATTGTGTTGGTTGAAAACAAATAAGTCACTCAATTGGAAGGGTATTTCAATGGCTTCTAGTTGAGCAGTTTGGCATTGCACACATGCAATAGCCTTCTTTTCCTTTTAAAGAATTTACATGATTATGATTTATGCTCACTGTTATAGTTTTCAGGGAATTTTACATTTACGAGGTAGACCTACAGTTGCATATGACCAACAAGGCCTCGTTTTTGCAATGTCAATGGAAGGGGGTGCTATCAAATTGTTTGATTCACGATCCTATGACAAGGTTCTTATTTGTAAACTGCTAACTTGCTTTAGCATTATTTATATTGTTACTTATGTGTGATGTTTTTCTCCAATATATAGGGTCCATTTGATACCTTTTTAGTTGGTGGAGATATGGCTGAGATCTGTGATATTAAGTTCAGCAATGATGGTAAATCAATGCTTTTGACGACCACAAGTAACAACATTTATGTTCTTGACGCATATGGCGGAGAGAAGGTGAGCTCACCATTTCTGTAGTTCTGTTCTTGGAGCTATATCTTCTAAAAACTGTCTGCTGTTTTGCCCCATGCTTTGTTTCTTCAGTATCTTTGTCTTTTGGGAAAAATGTGTCTGAATTTATCATATTTAAAAACTTTATTTGGTGCAGCGTTGTGCGTTCAGTTTGGATCCATCTCCAAATGCAACGATAGAGGCAGCTTTTACCCCAGATGGCCAGTATGTGGTCTCAGGTATCTACTTCTATGCCATTGTTTTGTATAAAATAGAAAACAGTTTAGTTTGAATTTCTTTTTCCTCATCTATGTTTATTGATCTTATGGAGTATTTTACTTGAATGTCTCTGGTGTAGACTCTGTAGAGTACTACTGCTACCAATCAACGGATCAAATTTTACATTTTAATCAGATTGCAATACTTCTTCATTATAGTTCTCTTTTGGTGAATGAAAATCTCTTCACACTACGTACCAGTTTACTTACAATTGCTACAAGCTCTGAAAATAAGTAAATGGTGGATAAGAATAAAACATCACCTCAACCCGAGTCATAACTCATAAATGCCTTGAGGCCTTAAAAAGTGGCAGCCTTTCAAGTAAAAAAGCTCAAGGAAGAGTGTTGTTAGGCGTACATCTCTACTCAATAAGTTATAATGTGGGAACGGAAATCTATAAATATTCTCCCCAGTTTTGCTTTGTACTACACATTCGTTGTCATTAGTCAAAAATAGATTCATATGGCCTTAGACAGCTCCATATATAATTGTGTAGGATTTCTATTTATCTGCACAAGTTTAAACTGCAACTTATAAGGTAGGTTTGTCCCCCCTGCAACTGGATTTCTCGGCACGCCCTTCTTATACAGTCATTCCATACTAAAGAACTTGATGGATATCAGTGGATCATAATTTGATGGAAAATGATATACCAGCCCACTTTCTAGACCTATTTTTTAAACCTAATAATGTGTAAGTGATATGATTGGTTAATGATTAGAGAATGGAAAATGATTTTTCCCCCGAATTCACCCTTCCCCGAATCCCCCGACTGTTCAAAACAACGTTGTTTTGGGCATTTTTTTATTTTTATTTTTATTATTCCTCCTTATGCAGTCTAAAACAGAAGAGGGAGAGAAGAGAGGGGAAGAGAAAGAGAAGGAGAGAAAGAGAAGAGAGGGGAAGAGGGAATGGAGAGGGTTGATCGCCGATGATGGAGCACCGATTTGATGGAGGGTGCGACGGTGACCAGATTTGATGGAGCACCGCCTGATGGAGCATCGATCTTAATATTTCTCTTTATTTTATTTTATTTTTATTTTTTATAAATTTTCTGGCTCTGTGTTGATGATGGTGATGTTGGTTGAATGGTTGTTGATGATGATGTTGATGATGATCTGAAGATGATGATGATAATGTTGAATGCTTGTCTCTCTCTCTCTGCTACTCTCCTCTTCCTCCTTCTTCTTCTCCTTCTTATGCGTTATTGGAAAAAAAAAAAAAAAAAAAACAAAACGATGAAATGACATCGTTTTGAATTCGGAGGATTCGGAGAAGGGGGGATTCGAGCTATGTAGCACAATGGTGATGTTGGGTGATGTTGGTTGAATGGTTGTTGATGATGATGTTGATGAAGATTTGAAGATGATGATGATAATGTTGAATGGTTGTCTCTCTCTCTCTGCTACTCTCCTCTTCCTCCTCCTTCTCCTTCTTCTGTGTTATTGGGAGAAAAAAAAAAAAAAAAATCAAAACGACAAAATTGCATCGTTTTGAATTCGGGGGATTCGGAGAAGGGGGGATTCGAGCTATGTAGCACAACTGTTAGAGAATATATGAGAGAGTGTTGCCTTTAATATCCTAATTGATTGCCACATCACTGGTTTTGAAAATTAAGTCTAATCTAATTTGATTCATAAAGCCAATGCCATGTCTGTAGATCATATTTTTTGAAATACCTCACATTACAGAGAAACCTTTTCAGCCTTGTGAAATATAGCATGGTTTGACCTTGACAAATAGACATGCACTTACATTTGATTGATGGTTCCTGACCTTGTTTTTGCTTTTAACGATAACGTGATTTACTACAATACCAGTGATGGTTCCTGACCATGCATAGTTGGATATGCTATTTTGTTTTTTTTTATTTGGAACGCTAGAACTGACGTATTCTCTACCTGTGTTAAAAGGATCCGGTGATGGAAGCTTGTATGCCTGGAGTATCCGTACAAAGAATAAGGTACACCCTTCTATCCAATCCTAATCCTGAAGTAAATTTTTGTCATTTTTCTTTATACAATTGGATATATACATGAAGTAAATCGAACTATTTATTGAAGATACTATACAGTGAGTGCTGACACTATTGTCGATACACAGGTGGCAAGCTGGGACAGCCACATAGGCATTGCTTCTTGCTTCAAGTGGGCGCCTCGTAGGGCCATGTTTGTTGCTGCATCCTCAGTTCTCACGTTTTGGATACCTAATAATTCAAAACCAGCAACTGAATTCGGAACTGTCAACCCTGAAGCTGTAGGACAATCTGAACATATTTCTCAATGACTGCAGAGTGATGTCTAATTAGTACTTCGTGATAAAACCCTCAGCAGCATTCATGTACTCTAGAGAGAGATCAGTTTTCTTGCTCGCAGCTTGTGTTTTGGTAAGAATTCGAGGGGGAGGACCACTTCTTTGGTTGGTTCACAGCTTATGTAAAAATTCGTATTCCCACTACTTGTCCTGGTTCATTTTTAGTTGGAGATTTTGTTGAGCATTGTGTTGATAAGGCTGTTAGGTCTCCAAATTTCCGATCGCTAAATTTTCTGATTCATTTGAGTTACAACATAGATAAATTGTTCCAGTAAGAATGTTTTAACTATGATGAGATGTATATGATGCTGGTAACTTTCATGGGTTCGTCGTGCTTGTACTAGTGCTTGTACTATTGATCGAGCAGTATCTCTGTTTTCTCTCCCCCTCCTCTCTCAAAACAGGTGGATATGATGAAACAGTGTTCTACTTGATCTTTAGGAGAAATGTTCATGTTAGAGACTTGTCAGTGAATTAGTATACACGTCTCCAAAATTCAAACACAGAACTGTATTTCAGAGTGGTCTCTGCTAGCCAAGTTTTTGTTTTTGTTTTTCTTTGTCTTGGGTTTGTCGCATGATTGCATGTGTGGGAGCTTCAAACGAATTTTGCTTTTAGGCTTGTCTTAGAGTTTGCATGTAGTTTCATCTGAATTGAGTTCATGAACAATTTGTGCTATGGTTTGAGCCACCTCGTTTGTTTAAATCCCAACTAAAAAAAAAAAGTACACAGCAACCAACCCCATTGATCTACCACAGTAACCCCATAAACCAAACCTCTTTCATCTACACATGCACACACATACAGTAGTAGCACACTTGATGCCAAGCCCATAATTAAACTACCAAAGCTCTTCATTATTTCCTAGCCCATTTCCCTTCATTCACAGAGTCAGTCTCGATCCTGAGTCTACTTTACAGCTTCCTGGGCCTTCTTTTGGATCGTCTCACCCACCTCTTTCGTCTTCTGCCCCATCTGAATCGCTACGTCCTGCATGCGCCTGTTCACTTCCTCCATCTGCTGCGATCAACCTGCACTCGCCTGCCGGAAATAATTCAACACCCATGACATCGCCGTCAGCCCCGTCAACCCGAAAGCTCCCGATGCCATAAGTCCGGCAAGGGTGAGGCAAGCAACGATGGCAGCGGGGACAAGGACCGGGCTGAAGATGAAGAAGAGTGGGGTCACCACGGCAAGGCCGATGAGAGACCCAGCGAGGGAGATTCCGGAGAGGCCGAGTAGGGTTCCGCTGACGGGGAGAGCTAGGATTGCTAGAACTTTGCTGGGTGATGGGCCGCTCTGAGGGTAGAGAGACTTGATGACGCTGTCGTAGCTGTACTGGGGGTGGACTTGGATCTGGTGGGGATATGGGCGGTCTGCCATGGATGGTGGTGGTAGGGAATTGTAGAGTGAGAGAGAGGGGATTTTGGAGAGACAGAGAGAGGCAGGGAGGGGAGTGAATGAGGGTGGTGGATGTGGGGGTTGGTGATATAAAGAGAGGGGGGTGAAAGCAATATGCAACGTGGTGACAGGTGTGAGTTAGAAAGGGCTGAATGGTTTGCATGAGAAACAAGTTTCAGGGTGGCTTTTTTGTGCCACATGCAAAGAGTTTTATGCTGCCCATTCTTTATTTTTTATTTTGGATTTCAGTGGTGAATGGTGCTCGGATCAGTTAATGACCATCTCAATTAATTCCTACTTCATGTCGGAATTAAGAAATTTAAGGAAAATTACTTTTGAAGTTATGTTAGAAATATAAAAAAATTTGACCAAATATCTCATATGAATGTGGATCTCATAAGATCTCATATGAATAAGGTATCCATACCAATATAAGATATTTAAGTAAATATTTAGTAGAATTTTTGGAATCTTTAACATTTCTTTTATTTATTTTTTTTAATTTGGCCTTTAGATTTGAATCATAAACAATTGTATGAAGAGCACACTCACTAATCATTTAGGACAACTTTCAAAACTAATGTTGCCCATTACATCATGAATTAAATGCTATGAATTATGATAATAATGTATATAATTTATTTTAGAGAAATGTTTTGTTGCTCGAAACTTTGGACTCGAATGAGCTGAATCCGTGGGACTCACGTGCCTACATATATCAATATCTCTCTATCAATATCTCCTTCACTCTGTCTCTCAGACTCAAATATTATTCTCCAACTTTGCTAGAGAGCTCTAATAGAGCTGCTCTAATCGCAGCTCTATTGAGCTGGCACACCTCCAAAAAAAAGAAAAAAAAAAAAGAAAAAAGGAAAAAGACAAAATAGAAAGAGAAAGAAGACAAATTAATGCTATTTTAGAGCTCTTCTTTTAGAACTCTAAAACATTTTTCATTGTTCTCTCCTCTTTGGGAACCCCATCGGGCTCTCATCCTCTCCGATGCAAACGACGGCCATTCAACTCATCTCCGACATGGACATCGGACCTGTCTGACAGCCGAAAACTCCTTTCATCCGACACGGAAACTCCTCTCAGCCGGAATGAAGGAAAACCACCACCACCATGCGTCCTGTAATGAAGGAAAACAGAGCATAGTATCAAACAGACAACTTGGTTTCTTTTCCTTAACTTCAAATGTATCTCTTAAGTACATATGCCTATTAAAGTTCATCTAGAATAAAAGAAAAAGCAAAGAAGAAAAAAAGAAGCTGCTATGGATTTAAAAGGTTCCTCACACTTAATTGCATTATAATCTCAATAATCTAAGTAAGGCTATATGTGATTTGAAATTAAAATTTGAATAAAAATAGAAACAATAAACTCATCATGACCTATGGAACCCATGATTTATGAAAATTACAGTTTTGGGGGATTGAATTGAACAAAGGGGAAGATGAGTGATCATCTCCTGATAGACACATTTATCTAGCTTTCTCAGTCAACTGAACAATGCCATCAAGCACAAGAACTTTCCCGTTTGGCAAGTCATGAAATTCATTCAGTAATACAAAATATGGCAGAGATGATGAAATTCATTCATTCATTTCAGTAATTCATTCAGTAATTCTTTATGCCAGGTCTTGTTCATGGTACTAATATCTTTTGCTTTATAATGAAATGTCAATATGTGAGTATAGGATATGGTCATGGGTGGAAAAAAAAAACAACCTCCAATGCTATAGAATTTGCCGTGGCAGAGATGATGGTGGAGATTCTGAACAGAGAGGACGGTGGTCTCGATGGTCAGTGACTCTCGTCGGTGAACACCCAGGTTGGTGGCCGTCGATGAAGATTCCAAATGGGGGAGTGCTCTGCTCTGCGCTATGTGTGGTTCCCCTCTCTCTCCCTCCTCTCCTCTCTCTTCTCTTTTGTTTTTGTTTAACAAGAGCGTGGGTTTCACGAAAATATTTCGAGCCATTCGGGGTAGTAAGTTTCGAGCTACCAGTGGAGTCGAACTAGGAAATAGGCAACATGAAGCCTGGATTTTAAGCAGTCGCTTTAGTTTTAAACTTGAAACATTGAATGATATCAAACTCTGATACAAATCTAGTTATAAAAGCAACCATCGACGATGAGTCGCAAACAATAAATACAAGCACTGAAATTATTGAGTAAATAAATTAATAATCCTTATTATAAAAATTAAAGTAAAATAAAACAGTTACCAGAATTGGCTGGAATAGTCCAAGGAGTAATAGTCCCAATGGCCAAGGACAAATTGGGCAAAATTCCCCCAATAAACTACCTGAAGTTGGAGGTGCGCTGACTAATCTGAAAGTGGCACATATGCTCTTTGGAACATGCCCCTCAGGATACTGAAATTTTACCATTAAAATCATCATAGCATGTCAAATAAGTGAAGGTATAAGGATATTCTCGTAGAATGCAATTCTTAAAAACACAGGGAGAAACACATTAAAAATAACAAATCCTTCTCTCGCCTTTTTTTTCACTTCTCTTAATTCCTGTGTCTTTTTGTTCAAATTCTTTTTTAAAAAAAGGATGTAGAAGCTGTTGGTGTAACATTGAGAGCTCACCGTAAGTACACAGCTCAAAAGATGAAGAAATGTTGAGATACATGCCCAGCTTGAGATATACTAGAGTCTGCTTCAAAAGTGGAGAAAAGAGGACCATGTTGAATGATTATTTATTCATTCCCAACCACTACTCTTGAGGTTACCATTCATTGTTACCTCATGATGGAGGCATGACCTGTTTAATGTAATTGCCACCTTTATTCACTTAGATAATACTGCCAGTCTAGCCACTCAAATCCGATTTATTAGCCCTCAACCCCTCATCTAAAAAGCTATAAAGTATATGACATGTACATTATTATTCTTCTTCCATGACAATTTGCTTCACATTGTACAGCTAATCTCGTTTATGGTTACTAGTAGTAGTAGTGCATCAAGTTTTCACCAATAGATTAGAACATGAATGATAGGACACTGGAGAAGTTTGCTCCTCAACCGGATCCAATTAACTGGATCATCCACCTCATACTACCTACCAAGTACTGAAAATATGAAAAACTCCTTTCCTATTTATTTCTACACTCAGATTAGCACTGTTTATGCCTTAACAATAATCAATAGCAACTAGAAAAAGTGTATTTTAAATTTATTGTCACTTCCACCCTTTTCAGTAAATGTCAGCCACGTAACACACTTAAATTGTATCAATTGTCACAATAACAGAGGTTATAATTGTAAGATATTTTACAAGAAGTTTAATGGAAGAGAAACAAGAATTTAAAAAGTCCATATTACCTCTAACTCAGCCACTGCAAGTGCAATTCATGATAAGGGACTCCAGTGGATTGGTTTTCTGCCTCTATAGATATACCCTTGAAGGGTCATCTCACCAAACACCTCAATCTATTAACACTATGTTTGGGAACCTAGGAGAGAAAAGAAAAGAAATGATTACTTAAGTTATAAGAGAAGAAAAAAGAAAAGAAAAGAAATGATTGTAATTTCTCTCATTCTTGTTTGGATAAGTAAGAAATAAAAGAAAAGAAATGATTGTGATTTCTCTCCTTCTTGTTTGGTTAGATTTCATAAGAGGAAAAGAAAAGAAATTATTTTATGTTATATTACCAAAATAACCTTTTTATATTTTCAATCATTTTATTTCTTTTATTTTTATAGGGGTAAAATTGGTATTATGAAAATATAAACATTTGTGGACTTCTTTTCTCTCCCAATCTCTCCACTTTTGGGAAGATTGAAAATAAGGGTTATGAGAGAAATGAGTTTCTCTCCATTTCTTTCTATTTCTCCCCATTTCTCTCTACTTAAGATAACCAAACAAGGAAGAGAAGAAATGATTGTAATTTCTCTCATTCTTGTTTGGATAAGTAAGAAATAAAAAAAAAAAGAAATGATTGTGATTTCTCTCATTTTTGTTTGGTTAGATTTCATAAGAGAAAAGAAAAGAAAAGAAATTGTTTTATGTTATATTACCAAAAATAACATTTTTATATTTTGTCATTATAGAA